CTGTCATTATTGTTTCTTATGTACATGTATATTGAATTAAATTAACATAAATAAACAGACATATCCAAGTGAAAGGCTCTTCATGAATTGTAAATATTGTTTTTCAATTTAGTGTAGTGTAGTGTAGTGTGGTGTAGTGTAGTATAGTGTAGTATAGTGTAGTGCAGTGCGGTGTAGTGTAGTGTAGTGTAGTGTAGTGTAGTGTAGTGTAGTGTAGTGTAGTGTAGTGTAGTGCAGTGTAATGTAGTGCAGTGCAGTGTGATGTACTTGTAGTGTAGGTAGTGTAGTGTAGTATAATGTAGTGTGATGCGAAATGAAGTGTAATTTAGTGCTGTGTCGTCAAGTGTAGTGTAATGCGTAGTACAGTGTAGTGCAGCACAGTACGGTGTTGTGTCAGTGTAGTATATTTATTTGTAGCGAAGTACAGTGTAGTATGGTCTAGAGTTGTATGTTGTTTAGTTCAGTGTAATGCAGTAAAGTGTAGTTACATAGTGAAATTTTTTTTTTTTTTTTTTTCCCCCCAATTATTTATTTATTTATTTATTTATTTTTTTGTTTTCTTTTTCATTATCAGGGATGGCATTATAATTGCCTGTATCAATAGTATAACAAGTTTTTATGCTGGATTTGCAATATTTTCCATACTTGGTTTTATGGCATATGAGCAAGGAGTAGCTGTGGATGAAGTTGTAGACTCTGGTAAGACTGATCTAAGTATTGTTACTTTCTTCTGTAATATACTGACTGGTATTTTATTCCACTTGGAACTTATTTTCACTGAAGGAATGAATTTATGAAAATAAATTACAGTAATTTTTTCCTATATTTAACATTCAAATCAACAAATATCAGTGATTTGAACTTCATACAAAATAACCAAAATGTTTTTTTTTCAGTGAAAAAACAGTATAATACACATTGGTATATTGTTTTATCATGCATGATTCATTTCATGAGCATTATAATTATTAGTAAATATAATCATATGGAACACATGCATCTTGCTTATAATATGAGGTTATTACGAGAATACCTCAAAGTATGTGTGAAGACAGCTGGAGTATCGATCGATGCACAGCGGAGGTTGATGCACTGCATACTGTCTGAGTGCATAATTTGAGGTATTCTCTTAATAACCTTATTATACATGTTTACATACATCTTTTCCTTCCAAGGATACACCACGGAAATGCCGAAATCCAAAGTGTTTTGAACAGAATTAGCGAAATTGTTTGTGTGGTAGCCATGTTTGTTTTTATTATTAGAGAACGCTTACATGCCTAATCATTCCATATTTGGAATTCGCATTTCCTAATATGGTTGGATGAAAATACCTCGTAAAATACCGCAAAATTACGGCACACTTTAACTTATGACGTTACAGTGACAGATGTATAATAATACGGAATATGCATATTCATGTACAAAAAAAAGCACAATTATGTAATTCATAATAAAGGAATATATATTATTTAGTCATAAGAAAACTATTTATTCATAGAACATATTTGCTATATTTTAATTTTCATATTCAAAATATAATTGGATAATCATTTTGTAATCCCATGTGTAATGTTGTGTTTTAATTTGACAGGTCCCGGATTGGCTTTCCTGGCATATCCCAAAGCCGTTAGTTTACTACCAGTAGCTCCCTT